AATGTTGGCAAGAGTTCCCTTTAATCGCTGCTTAAATGAGAACTAGAATGGAAACGAGGTCATCATCATTTTGGAAATTTACTATTAACCATAGCCAGAAAAACTCATGTTAAAAAAATGATGACAGATACTATGACAGATCCAGAGAAGCAGCAAATGAAAATATAGTCCTGAATTAACTGGAAAAAATTGAGAAAATTTGGCTCCTAGAATAATCATTTGTCAGATGATATATTTAGTGAAAGTCGAGCAACATTGAGGTCAAGTAACTCCATCCATGTGGAACTGCACATAACACCAACAGTGTTCAACGCCTTCCAAAACCAACGGATCATAAAACTTCTTGGATATTTCCTTTTTCCGAAGAGCTTACCGCGTCCATAAGATGAGATTTGCCGCATGCGCTGTCGCATATCCTCCACATTATTGTGATCAGTAATCACACCCTCTACTCGAAATCCGCCAAGCCCTCCTCCTGAGAGAATCGCCTTAGCGACGAAAAATGCTGACGCCGCTGCGGCAACAATCTGTGGGCTGACACCATTTAGGTCGGCCGTGGCTTCGTCCACTCGCACATGTAACAGAGCGATGTTCTTGTGAGCTCGTGGCTCCCAACCAAAGTGCGTGAATATGGTGTAGAGGAAACCGTTCAAGGATCCATGATGCCCACCCAGACGAGTAAGTTGTGGGTAGCGGATCTTATCAGCAAGATCTATCTCAAAACCACCAAATGTGACGAGGGGTCGCTTAAACCGGGCGCCAACAATGCGCGCGGCGGAGGCGAGGGGAAAGGTACACACAGGACCGATGAAGGCATGAACGGGATCGTCCATGAGGTAGTGGAAGATAAGGTTGAGAGTGACGGCGACATCACACTTGGTGTCTCCCCAGAGGAATTCCAGACGTGGCAAGCGTGAGGCGAAGGATAGTGTTCGAATTCGATTGATGGCGTAGTCCAGAGCTGGCGCCAAATAGACAGCTACTTTTGTATCCTTTAGTAGCAGGAGGGTAGGAGGAATACTCTCTAAGATCTCCCAAATTACTACTAATAATGTGGCCTGACTTTGTGGGTCCTGAATTTCTCATTTAGAATCTAAACATCTTTACACTTCTTCAGTTAAGAAGTCAAATTAAGGTATGTGACTAAGGCAGCTTCGCGACTTCATGTTCAGTATCAGAGTATCCTAATTCCTCTTTAAACTATTGATTATAACGCAGCAGAATTGGAATTATTAAGGTCTGTAGGGAAATTTCGTGAAAATATACATGATTGTGCAACAAAATACTTGAAAATGGTTTTCAATAGATTCTCCAAATCATTAATGAACTTAAGGGCTGTGGCTGGGCTGAAATGAAGGCAGTGAACATGAGGAACACTGAAAAAAAGAAAACGTTCAACCTTAAGTCTAAAGGCCAATCAGCCGAAGCTAGTGGACGAATATGAGGGTCCATTGCAACTTTCGCTTAAACTAGTGCTCTCTAAAAACACCTACTGGTATTCAATGAAGTTTAAAACAGAATTGTTGTGAGCGTTAGACTTTGAGTCGAAAAACCTTTGAAGGTAACCCATAGCTCCGAAGACTAAGCATTATCAAGACCGCTTAGATTGGGGAGGTAAACATATTATGCACTACAAGCAGAGCATCGCCTCTCGTAGAGAGGAGGGACTGCCAACACCTGCCCCTGAAATGCACTTTTACCTGAATCCTTAAGGTCATAGCACACTCACTGACCAGGTTTAACCCAGCGGAAAGTTGGTCAATTTCTAAGCCTCTCGTTCCAGCACGCTTACTATGGAAACCGAATCCACAGTCTGAGCTCCAAGACACAAAACTTCACAAGTCAGGCCACAGTCTACGACAAATAAAGAAGAGCTACCTGAAGTTGTGGTGCTGTGGCAGAAATATCCTCAAGTGTAGGATCAAAAGGCACGAGAATGGCAATTCGATAGACTGACTCATCAGTAGGGACACTGCAGAAGTGTCTGCCCAAACCGTAAAACTCCGCGATTTCATCCTGCGTTAGGTTGGCAGCAGAGCAGAAGTAAAGGAATGTGAAAAACAAAAAACTGTTTCGGGAGGGGCAGAAACTACACATTCTTGTCATCACCGACGATGTAAAGGTCAGTAATGCTATCCGCCATTGCACTAGAGAGGTTGTTGAAGTGTCACTTAAAATCGGAGAAGAACGTGTATGATCGTATCTAATAGACGCACTAGATGAGCGACGAACCAATCACCTTACTGGACGACTTCCGTTGGTCAATCGCCTCACGGAAAGAACCAATCAGAGGGAGGTGATTGGGAGTTGTACCAAAAGTCAGACCTCGGTTGCATCACTTGAACTTCGAGACCGCGCCGTAAGTTTTGCAAGATGTTATAACTTCATCGTTCTATTTTTTCCTTTATCATTTATCAGGCTTGACTTTGGATATTTTTTCCCAGGTTGATATGCACTCCTAGTAGCACATACTCTAGCTTAACTTCTATAAAGAACGATACATTCGAACGTACTCATGCTGAACTGCTCTCCTCATCGTACGCAGAACCTTATGAAGATCCTCTCCAAACCACCAAAGGTTTATAACTATTTCATTATACGAACATTCCAAAAAACACATTTTCAAAGCAAAACATTGTATTAAATATTTTTTTACAGAGTAGTAGGCATCTTATCTTATTGAACCTCATTGTGCTGTTTCCTTCAAATTTGTGCATTTCACACGGAATCCGCTTCCCTCTGAGATTAAGTTTAATAATTTTCCAAAGTTTGTGAAAACTCAAGACATTCGTGATTTGTTCTACGTTGGTAAACGCCCAACACGAGATGGGCGTACACTTGAAGTGACCATTCCACAACCAAAAAGTGGAAAGAGGTAATTAGGATAGTCCAATAACAAGAACATCATCACTTTTTGAAACACATCACATCAGGAAAAGTCGTCAATTAAATCTCCAAAAGACAAAACTTGGAATGGATGAATATTCACCACTTGTGAATCGCGGTCCTGCTTTGCTAACTGTTACACTAGTTGTCAAAACAACTTGTCACAGTACTTAGTGGACCGATTTGTGTGGCTAAGACTAGAACCATAACTGATCCTCTTGGAAAGCTTGTGTGTAAGATGAAAACATAAGACAACTTGACTACATGAACTGCTGATTAATCGCAAATCGTAAAAACGTGGTACTCACAAAAACAAGTAGGAAGTTTG